CCTCTTCCTACAGCCAGGATATGACCAACGTAATCCTTTCGAAGGACCTAGGACTACGTCTGCAGCGCGACCAGTAATGCCTGCACACTTCGCATGACAATAACGGTCGCAAAGCCAACAGGTAATCAATCGATCAGAATCGGGGCCTTTATTGGTTCGGCATGATGTAAGCAAACACTCCATGTTAGAAAGCAACGGAAAAAAATTTGGTTTGTGAAGAAAGAAAAAAACAAAAAACTTTTTCTCGTATTCAAGAATGATCTCTTGAAAAACGAAGTAAACGAAGGCAAACAATGTAAAGGCCGCAAATCAAGGCAGACATTTGAAAACAACAATATGCAAAAAACAAGGAAGACACTTTTTGACGAGAGCACCAAGTGCTGATCGCCAAAATTAAAATGCTATCAACACAAAAAGTTGAATATATTTCAAAACATTCAAACACTTTTATAATTAATTAGGCTTTAAAACCGTATAAAGCAATAGAATAAAAAAAGAATTACAAAATTTCTATGTGCAAAATAAAATATACGACCAAAACACGCGCGTAGAGTTGCCAAAACTAAATATGACGTTGTCTTTTTTTAAAAATTTATAGGCAAGACAAATCAGATTCTAATAATTTTTCTATTATGATTGTGGTTCTGTTGTGATTACTATTTGCAACCATGTTAACGCTGTAAGTGAAGTAAGTCATCTAAAATTCGCTTGATAAATACCGAACTCTGCAGAAAAGCAGAATTTTGGGGCGGTAAATAATCTGCAAAAATATTTTTATTTATGAAAAATCGCTACCTTATCCTAACCTACAACTATCAGCTGCATATCGCAAGCAGAATATTCAGGTATTGTATCAAAGCCCTCATAGTTCTCACAATGAGTTAATATGTGTATTTAGGATGAAAGTAAAGCATACAGAGGATCAGAACAAGTATCACCTTATAGCTGCATATCGCAAGCAGAATATTCATGTATTGTATATTCAGGGTGAAAGTAAAGCATCCAGATGATCAGAACAAGTATCATCTTATAACGACATGTGCATTAACCGCAATGGAAAGTATAAGGTAGCCCTAATATGAATGAAAAGTGGCCAGTGACAATTATATAGACATCATTGGCCACAAATTTTTATTGTCAGTATAATGGTCCATCCACTAGACTACTCAACGGACTTGTTAATTATAGAATTTCAAGTTTATTTTTGTTTAAATGTTATTGATATTTCTTGAATGTCATTTGTTTGTTTCAAAAAGGAAAACTTACTACATTGACGATCCTGCTAAAATAAAATTAAACGAACGAAGACAACGGCAGCATAGTACGACATGAGAAGAAATAAAAGCGCCTGATAGTAAAACCCCGAGAAGAACCTTCAAAAAACATCATCAACCGAGCTTTATTGGAAAGCGCTAGAAGACGGGCGAAGGTGATATCGTTCCTACTAAAATAGTGATTTATACCAAATGATCGGCACGAAAAAGACTATAAAAAAAAAAAAATGTTCTAACAAAGTACTACTCGCTCATATAAAAAGCGACGCAAAACTTTCTGTAACAACAGAAGCTTCCGCTTTCACTATAGGCGGCGTTTTGCAAGAACACCTTAGTAACAGAGTAGAGTCACTAGCATTCTTTTGAAGAAAATTGAGCCCAACCGAAAGAAAATAACAGCGCCTCTAATCGGGAATTATTAGCAGTTTACTCTAACGTAAAACACTTTAGACATTTCCTTGATGGTACCGAATTCACGATCCTCACTAACCATAAACCATTTCCCCCTCCTCTCCATTAAAAAACAGAACGAACTCCTAGCCAAGCTAGTCACAACTCTAATCGGACATTAAATATATTAAAGGAGATACAATTATAGTAGCCGATACCCTTTCTTGGGCTTTCGAAACAAATTCTTTAAAGACAATACATCTCAATCTTAAACTCCTCATGAAAGAACAAAAAGAAGACACGGAAATTGAAATGCTTTGAAAGCCTGATCTACCTTGAATTATTCAAAATCCTGTTTCTCGATTTGTGAGAAAATAGCGCCTGATTCCAGACCTTATATTCCTACCACAAAAATTAGTCTTCGAAAAACTGCAGGGTATTTCTCACCCTGGTGTCACAGCAACCAGAAAATTAGTTGTCAAGAGGTATTTTTGTCGAAACAAAACGCGTTGGCCTGGAGTATTTCCACTCAAAGGCATTTCGCCTTCCCTTACAAAATTTTAACTTGAGCTTACAACCCGCAACCTAATGGAATGGTTGAAAGGATTTAAAGGCAACTTAAAGTAGCATTAAGAGATTAAGAGATAAAACCAGGGATTCCTGTGATCAACTACCTTCAGTACTACCTAGTTTGGGTTCCATATACAATTAAGGCAATGCAAGCGAATTGTGCAGAATTTCCGAGATGTTGTTTCTTCTAGCAAGCAATAACGATTTTACCAATGTCTTGAGCACATTTAAAAAAAAATTAAAAATGTCGACTGCAACTTGTCTCACCGTCACCGCTGCAAATATTTATTTGTCCTGAAAATAAACAAACATGCTCTCCATTAAGGCAATTCCTATACAAAGTCAAACCTGCTATTCTTGAAAAAGAAACATTCCCCAACATACTCCCACTTCAAACGTGTTACATGTAATTTATTATAATGTTAAACTTTGTAGAGCGGCAATGTGGTAGTGGTACATCCACTAGACCACTCAACTGACTTCGTAAATACAGAATTTCGTTAAGAATGTTTTTGTTTTAACATTATTGATTTTTCTCGAAAGTCATTTTTGGAATTTTGATCTTTTTATTCATAAAAAAAACTTTTAATAGAAATAAAATATTTATTTAAAAAAAAAATATTTTACAACTACGTTACGTTATTGCTACAGTCAGGGAATTCATTCTTAGCAAACGACCGTAATTTTGGAGTGAGAGAAACGGCAAGTCCGTAAAACCATTTCATTCACCCCACAATTACGATTGTATAATTAATTAGTTTTGAAAGTCCGTTTGGATATAAAAAAACTTTATCCATAAGCCTACATTATATAATACCAGAGAAAACAAGAAATGTGTCTATCATATTTTTAAATTTATTGAAATACAACCCTTTAATATCTCCCGATAGACATATGTGGACTTGCCTTACATTCAAAATGAAGGAGTTGTTTGATAAATTGAATCTACGTAAAAACTTGTAATCGGTTGCTTTCACCTTGCAGCGCAGGTAAAGTCGCCCCCATCGGGAACCGTTACAGAAAAAAAACAAATACGAATTCAAAGCAAATTACGGCAGTTTTTCTATTAAGATATTCGGTCCCGCTAGGTGGCTCTTGATCACCCCCGGTGTTTTCCTACGTTTGCCTCTTCCTCACTTTGCTAAAGTGGTTGACGGTGGAAACGGAAACGCTAAAAGACCCAATCCTTCAGGATAAGTACGTGAAATCTAGTACCAATGCAATAATTACTCACCACGTACTCGTTGTGGGAATACAAACAAATGTAAATACTTAAAACCCGAAGAGGGACAGTTATATAACTTTATATGACTTTAGTTCTAGAAATAATAGAAAGTGGATTTGTAGTTACAAGAATGAAAAGAAATAAACATATTGTTATGAAATTCGCTTTTGTGAGATACAGTCCATATCACTAGATCGTGGATATATTGATCAAGAGAAATGCACTTCAAAGTTCTTTTATTTTACTACTTTGTCTTTCACAACAGTAGGAATTACAATTTATTTTGGCCGTACTCTCAACTTCTACGTTCTTGCCAGACTAACTCTATTTTTCACAAATATTCGATTTATATACAATTTTACAAGAATGTTACTATGCCTAAATTTATGGTTATGGTCTAATCCCAGCCTGGTTTTTCCTCTAATCGTTTCATCGGCCTGCACCTGCATGACGAGCCTGCGAATATGCACTTAGCTTTTACCTCTTAGCTTTTCCACTAATCGTTTTCATTGGCCTGCAGCTGCATGAGGCGCCTGCGAATGCTCATTTGGTTTTCCCTTCTTTAGGGAATTTATTCTTACGAAAATTACTTAGCTGACATTTAACTGAATTTGGGATTTTCGTAACAATATAATACATAGATGATATGCAAATAGTTGACTTTTGGTATTCGAGATTAGTTGCCAGTTTAAAGCAAACCTACCATGTAGTCCATGCAGAAATGAATTGAACATTTGTAAAGCGTCCAATGAAGTTTTAATAGTAATAATTTTCGGTGATTTAAGCGTTAAGTAAAACTGTAGAATGGAAATAAACACGGCTGGTAAGAGAATTAACTAAGATCTCAGAACAAAATCTGGCATTGTGTCGACAGATTGATAAGGGGACGAATTGCCCGAATCACGACGATTGAATCGACACCTTCAAGCTAAGAGATGGATAAAGCGCGTTTGTGCGCCGAGTAAAATGTAGTGCTGTGAGCTTATAAACCTCTAATGGCTGCAGATAAGATCTGTTTACTTTGTAAATAACTTTTCGTAACTAACTTTCGTAAATAACTTTTATTACGAAAAATTAATAAATAAAGTTCTGTACTATCTACGATCCAATGGTACAAACCTAATTTAAGGAATTTTAAGGATTATATATAAACGCGTCACTAAATTTGAAATTTTACACAACAAATTTTTTTGTTTAATTAAGAAACTTAGGATACGCCAGGACATCGTAAAAGGTATATCTAAAGAGAGTTTTGACATTTTCATCAAAACTCCGAGAATGCATTCAACAGCTGATAATTTTGAAAACGCGATGAGCGTTGAGAATATTTTAATAAATAATGAAGAAATTTTTAACATTTATTAGTCTCATATGGGTTAGTTAAAAGAGGCGGTCAATATACAAGAATCACTGAGTGGTATTTTTCTTTCTTTATTCTTTCTTTCTTTATTTATTTATATTTTCGAAGATTTAGATAAGTTTTAAAAATAATAGTCGCATTATTTCCCTTTCTATTTAATTTTCGGCCATTTTTGATGAAGCACTGCCTGCTGAACGTTTCGATTTTGCTGCAGCAGGTGGCATAGCCCCCTGTTTTGGTGATCCGCCCCTGCCCTCTGCACTACCACTACCAGGCGCCGATGATGATCTCTTTAGTCCGGCTGGTAATGGCGATCTAAGTCCTGGCTGCTGTCCAGCCGACATGAGTCCGACATTCGAAAAGCCCTATATGCGTGAAATGGAAAAAACTATCGAAGGTTCACGTTTTATCGCGCAACATGTAAAAAATAAAGACAAATTTGAAAGCGTAAGTAGAACTCAATAACGTCAAGTTAATTAATTTATTTATTATATATATTATTATCAACTATCTGGTTAAAACTTGACAGACTGTTTCATAATTGATAACTGCAAGTCAAGTTTCAAAACTCACAAGCCCGTCTGCTGTAAAAGATTTAGAAAACGGATTGAAAGTATTTTTCTTAACACCTAATAACGATATTTCGCGGCACCTCATTAAGTACTACTAGATATTGACATGAAACTTAACATAGGTAGACGTCAGCTAATCTTTTTCCAACATACGAATAAAAAAAGCTACTAATTAACTATACCTTCGACCCTCCCAAGGAGCGGTTAATGTACAAAACTTAAAAAAACGGCACAGCTTTTCTTGCAATCCTCAGAAGCATAAGTACGGCGTATCGCTTGTTTTATCGTTGATAAAATATTGTGTCTTGTTTCATACAAACTTTCAATGCGATAAAAGAAACGACGGTGTATTGATACCGTGCTCAGTCAGAAGAAGGAGTGCATTTGATTTTAAAAAAGCTTTGAGAGTTTCGTTGGGGAATTATGGTGTAAGGCACTCTGTTTGCAGTTTCTCATTCATCAGTAAGGCGCAGTGATAAATATACTATGATCTGCTAAAATTACTCCCATCGAAACGTATGACTTCGTAATAAATATTTGAAATTGTTGAAGGGCATTTAAGCAATTATATATCGGCTTAAGGCGCTGGGTATCCAAGATTCGCCATAGGCGGATATAAATTTGCTCTTGATTTATGTTCTTTTAATATCGCTATAACCAAATATAGTTGAAGATTTTTCTTCTTTTTCTACTACCTCGTCTATAGAATTATTATCGATTTTATTAAAAGCTTAACTATTCTTAAATTTCAATGCATTGTGTTTTGCTAACAGCATTACTAATACGAACAGCAATGCTGCATTTACTTTTCAAGTACATAGACAGCCAATCAAGCAAACAGTTATCAATCTAAGCAAACGTTAACCTTCGACAAAGCAAAGACGGTTAAATGCTTTTAGATTTCAGTGAATTTTTTAGTATATCCTTTTTTTTACTTCTAAATTTCTGTGGATTTATGTGATTTGCTCTCTAATCAGAGAAAATGGAATAAGTGAAAAAGATCGAATGTTTTATTGAAGCATGAAATCAAAGTGCTTTCAAAACACTGGCAACGGCACTGGCATTGTCAGCAACTATACGTATAAAACTGGATGCTGCACTGACTAAATAGTGCTCATCATTACCTAAAGCAAGCTTAAGCATGCATATGAAAACTAAGTGATGTTTTTTTTTTTGATTTTGTTTTTATAACATCATCATTCTCCGCAATGTCATCATCAACGTTGTTAACAAAATAGTCAATATTTCATATTTTGAATATGTGTGTCAATCTTGGTATATATACGTCCCTGACGTTTGCGGTAAATCCTGTTTTAAATCAAATTTTCAATTCTTTTTATAAATGTAGAACGTACTGCCTACGGCATTTTAGCATTTACAGGCACATATGCATATGTGCGCATACACAGACCCGATAATTTAAACTAGACGATGATAATAATGTTTTCGTATGGGTTGGGGTTTATTTAACCAATTAATTTCAACGTTGTTTACCCGCTTTGTAAAATTTTTTTATTTTTATTATTATCATCAAAGTAACAAAAATTAATTAACTTTCTTTATCTTTTCTCCTCTGGTTTGCATTCTCTCTCCCTCTCTCTCTATCTCTCTCCGTCTCTCTCCCTCTCATTATCTTTCTCTTTTTTTTAAAATTAGGTTGAAGAAGATTGGAAATATGTAGCGATGGTGTTAGATCGATTGTTCCTGTGGATATTCGCTATTGCGTGCGTGGTAGGCACAGCGTTAATTATATTACAGGCACCCAGCCTGTACGATAAGTCGGAGCCGATCGATATTTTATATTCAAAAATTGCCAAAAAGAAATTCGAATTGTTGAAAATGGGCAGCGAAAATAGTTTATAGCGACCAGTTGGGTTCGCAGCGGGCTGGTGGAATATTATCACCAGCTCGATGCGAACCCTGTTCGCCGCACGCGATGATGATCGTGGATAATACAACGATTTCATTGTGGAGGTGGACGCCCCATCATCAGATAATGGTAATAATACGCTGAAATTGGATTTAGGAGAGCAAGTGATCAAAATTGAGTTTGCTATTGAGAGGCGAAATTGAAACGGAAGAAAAGAAGAACAAAAGAAAAACTAACGAAATGCGAGCGTGACATGAACCGTAGCACGTGAAAGGTTGCTATCCATCCAAACAGGTAAAACCTACAGACAAAATTCCAAAGTCACAAAAGGCGCCAAACATGCATCTCTTTTATTATTAACATTTCTTGTCTCTCTCCCCCTTTCTCTCTCTCTCTCTCTCTTTCTCCATCTATTTTTTTTCTTTAACTTTCTTTCTTCTAAAAGTGTTTTTAGAATAATTTCTCAAATTGAACGAAAACTAACGAGAATTGAATTAGAACAAAAAAAAAAAAAAACAGTCACGGCAACCACAAAAGCAAAACAAAAATTACAAATTTTCTACTGGATCATATATTAGAGCAAATAGCCAGTAAGTCACTATATTGCAAGAAAAAAAGAATTAAAAAAGAGATCAAAGCAAAATACAACAACCAATCAGTGGTGTTACACTCGCATTAAAATTTAATGAAAACAAAAAATAAGTAAAAATGTAGACAAAATTTAAGAAATGAAAAGAAAATTATAAATATTTAAGCACACTTACACAAACACAAGCAAAATTTCTCAATGAAATTGAAAAGATTTTGTGAAAAAAAAATATCATAAAAACTTGTATAATTTTCTCACTTAAATGATAACAAAAAACTTAAACAAAACAAAATCGAAGCAAGTTCCTTTGAAGCGTTACAAAAAGTAAGATAAAAAAACAACAACAACAACATCAGTGGTTTATAAAAAGAAAAGGGTTAATAGAATTTAAAGCACAACAACAACAACAACAAAAGCACATCAACGAATCTTTTAGTTAAATAACAAGAAATTACCGTGAACTCTGTGAGAGTCTTGCCTTGAAACTGGCTTATCCACTTAAAGTTAAACAAACAATTGAATTAAATCAATCGAAGAAGCCAAGCGGTTGTTGCGAATAACAATAACAATGGTGATTTATTTAATTAATTTTTTTTCATACATACATGTTTTAAACTTTAAATTATTATTTACAATCAGCTAAACTTTAGAAGCCAAAGCCAAAGGTTTCGATGTGTAACTATATCGTTTTCATCAGCAAGGCCTTACTTCATGCATCTTTTCATCACCGACGGAATCATTCCACTTGCCAAAGCCAAATAGATTGCTCAAAAACTGTACTTATTCTTAATCGGCCTACATTTCCCACAACCAATTCTGCTATGTCTGTCTACTAAAAAAAACATCTACAGTCCTAAAGTGCATAGTAAGTCTCAGTTGACGATCTTAATAATCGCGCAAGCACGTTTATTATTCCGCAAGAGAAACCAAACTTTTATGATATAGCTAGCATGGTGACTATGGTAATTAAAGTGAGTTGGTTTTGTCACGCCCCAATCGCTCTCTGTCTTGGATAAGTTGCCGACAATACTTATGTCTGAACGTTTTCAGCAGTAGTCGAATCGGATCGATAGACTCTGTAAACTAGCCTTAGCGTCCCAGAAAAAGATCAATTTTTATTAGCTAATGTTGTCCGCAAGTAAGTAGCAATTTAAATATCAAAGGTTATTACAACAATTCGAATGAATTCTAACTCGAGAATTAGATTCTGAAGAGAAATACTCCTCAACTTACATTTTGGCTTTACACAGAAACATTGTCCAGACTCTTTAAGGGGTTGGTCTGAGTTTTTACACATTGTCCTCTTTTTATTCCTTTAGATTCCATTTTATGTTATTACTGGAAGAGATAACTAGGTGAAAACGTGGGACGGAAGATTTAAAATAAAAAATAAACCCAGTTTTCGTCGCAGTAAGGAGAAACGATGCACGTGCTTATAAATGTCCTTTTGTCGAAACATTCTGGTCAGAGCGATTTCTTTAGCGAATGTGATAACGGTGAACTTGTTCACTTATATAATACCCCGTGAAAGAAATGCTGTAACCAACATTCCCTTCCAGGCTTAGTATATGTCTGGAAAGTTAAATTTTCATTTCCAGCGATATAATCTTTTAAATTAGCATGAAAATGTGCGTGTCCATATATTCAAATCGCTATTTCCGCGATATAAGATATGACTTTGTCCTAAATATTATATTTTCTTATCAGCCTTGGTAAGTTATGTCTGAAAATCAATTCAATCGCCTAATATGATCATTGCAATTGCAAGAAAACTGGACGGAAACTTTTCGTTTTTTGCAACGGGTTTGACATGTACGATACGGGAGAGGATAAACTTAGTTGTGACATTGCATTCATATATACCATGGGTAAATTAGCGGTGCACACTAAAAGATTTGATATAAACTGAGCATAACTTTTTACTTTTAATAGTGGAAAAAGTAGTTGCTCGAGAAGAGGAATGGGGCGTAACGTAAAAAAAGATACTCAACTTAATTTATATGAACAATGCTTACGGATTAAAGGCCAACTTGTAATGTATTGGTGTAGGAGAATATGTACGTCATTTGAGTGTTTGGTACCAAACGTTGGCTACTAATCTAAAACATAGGACATATATAAGCGTACGTTTTTTGACGAGATTATGAAAGTGACGTGCAAGATATCACAGGTAGCAGGCACTGATTAGGAAGTGGTGGATATCCAAGACTTCCTCGAACGCGATTACAGCTTTCTCATTTCAATTTTTTTTTTTTTTGTCTTAAACTAATAAATGCACGTTTGATTGCAATATCTTTTCTATGGAAGGAAAAAGAGTAAATACAAGAGAGTGGTTGAGAGCTCAAGAATGGTGTAAGTATGTATAGTTTGTGAAAATCAATCAACAAATATTAATAGTTTGATTAAAAATATAAAAAATAAACAAAAAAATGTTGCATCATTGCGAGCAACACTTAAAGCGTAAATTCTGAAATTACTAGATAAGTTAAAATGAAAAACCAAAAGACAAAAAAACGTTTTAGGTTAATAATTAAGAAATTTAAAAAAAAAAGCCTAAAAACTATAACAATAACAAAACGCAAAACTTATAAAAAAATTTTAAAATATTTTTTTATTCAATTAAAGTTGTAACTCTCCTCCCAAAGAGTATCCATTTTTCTGCAAATAATAAATTGCTGTTGCAGTCATTCAATTCGAAAACATTTTTACTGTTTTGACATTTATATTATTTCGCCTAAAACTTTGTTTTGTCATACTCAAGTTTTTGTTTTCCCCTTATTTTTATGCTTTTAGGAAGACAGCATAAAGAACATTTACTCCTACTACTTGACATACAATTATAATTGAAAAACTTAGTTAAAAAACAAGAATGCAAAAGAAAATTATGCAAAATATTAATAACATGGCAACTGCATACCCTTGCCCCAATCTCTTGTCTGCTACTTCTCTGATTTAGTTTTTTTTCGAAAAAATTTCGAATACCACATACACGGTTTAAACAAAAAACCATGAGCTGAATAAATTTAAGAAAACACAAATAAGAAAATTAAATTCGGTCGGCAACGGACCTTTTATACCCTTCACCGTTATCCTAAAAAAGACAGAAGAAGTAAAAGAACAAAATTTTCATGCTCTACAATATGAAGTGGGCGCAGCTGATTTCTTCTTGTCTTTGTGGTATATCCAGGTGGGCGTGGTTGGCGTGTCCTTTGAAACGTTCAGTCCAATTCAAAATTCTTGTGCAAATTTGTAGACGATATCTTCACGACGATATTTTCACAGGCGGATCTGTTTAGGTGCGTTCCAACTTTGAAATTATCCAATAATTTGTACACTTTATGGGATTTTTGAAGCTTGTTTCTGCACGTTATGAAGGCATTGGAAAAACAATTAAATCTTAATACACTATAATATTGGGTAGGCGTGGTCAATTTTTGTATTTTTATGCACAAATATTACAGCATCGTTCATAGAATAGGTGCTCAAATTTCAATTTCGGTAGTGCTGTGGGCGTGTCCTTCGACCGATTTGGTCCATCTTCAATACCAACCAATATGCAAGAACATTCAATATGCCTGCCAAATTTGAACTCGATACAATGAGAATGTTTACAGCACACATTTCACAGACGAACAGATGGACATGCTCAAATAGATTTAGAATTTGATGCTGATCAAGAATATATATATAACTTGTGGGGTCTGTGGTGCTTCCTTCTGGACGTTACAAACGTTTTGACAAAATAAATATTCCCTTCAACCTTCGATGATGGGTATAGAAAAACGATTCAAATGAAAATTTTGCCGGCAAAAATACACATAATATAAAAGTTTTTTTACATATTTCTTTTTTTTTCGTGCTATATTTTTGAGTACGTCGAGTAATGTTCTTTGCATAACAATGGTTTTGTGCAGCATGAAAGTCGGTCATATCGACACCCTCTTCTGCGTCTCTATGAAAACAATGCACGATCTCTGAATTCTGTGTTCATTCCATTCATCTCCATTTCTTAATTCCACTCTGGGAGATTTACCCAGAAACACCTTGTAAGGTTTGCAAAGCAGAGGGGTTAGGGTAAAAAATCGCACAAAACTTCGTTAAAAACAAGTAAGAATATTATAGTGGGGCAAGGCCTATCCTTAAATTGCACATTATTTCCATGCAAAGACATACGTTTTATGAAAATTCGCATATTGGAGGATGACCGCAGCGTCACGTGATGTGATCCAAATTTAGCAAACTCCATTTATTTCCCAAAAACTTCACTCTTTTTCAGTTTCTGCCATAGAAAACTAGAAGTTGTACTTTCTCTCCAGACAAGGACATCCTTTTCATGATGACCCTAATATATGTTAGGATCTAAAGTAGACCTATGTGGTCCAACTACACTACTTTTAATTTTTTTGGTTAAGTTGCTACCATGGACTAATTTTCGTCATATAACATGTTTTTCGAGGGCTTACTATTTGCCAGAAATTTAATGTGGAGTGAAGTGCAAGAAATAGATCCATGTGGTTCAAATTTAGTCCGCTTAATTTTTATGTCATTACTATCATGAACAAACTTTCATCATAAACCATTAACAATTAGGCTTTTTGACATATAAGGATTTACATTTCTTGAGAATCCTTATAAGCGGTGGTATCCACAAAATAGGCCTATGTGGTCTAAATTCGGTAAGATTAATTTTCTTGCCAGTTTACTTTTATTTATTTATTATGAACAATGAAATATGGAAAATTGGACCTTCTTACCAGGTAAATATTTAGTTTTCAAAGGAAAATGTATATGACAGGCGGTTCAAAACATTGTCCCAGCCGATTCAATATTTTCGCACCGATTTAGAATATCAAGTTACTATTACGCGGCGAATTGTGGCGAAAAATTTTGAATATTGTACATTTTTCCATATGAAGATTTTTTAAAGTAGGCCGTTATATGGAAAGTGGTTAAAAAATGGGTCGATCCAAAGCATTTCCTTTCGTCCTTGGGTCGAAGTACGTTAATGCACCAAATTTCACTAAAATATCTCTCAAATTGCAACCTGTACCTTCAACACAAATTTACATAGGCAAACATCAGACAGACGAACAAACAGACCGGCTGCATCGATTCTGCATTTTCAGAAAATGAGTCGCAATCGATCGGTCTAAAAAAAGGGCTTAAACCCTTCAACCCCAGGTTGAAAACCTGATACGACACTATGATATCCTTTTTTGTATCCGTTGGCCCATTCGTCTGGCACTGTGAGATGTCCATACACTAATATACCTGGTCAAAGTGTTTTTTTTTTTCTATTTTATTTAACATAATACGATTTATAAAGCCATACAGTACTGTCGGTCACCATATTCGTATTTCTAAAATGTGACGTTGTAAAAAGCACTCACTCTCAATAAAATAGCACACATTCTAAAAGGAAGGGAAAGGAAGGGACGGTTTATTGCTAAACTATTTGAAAGGAGTGCTAATATTTCGCAGCCTGGAAATTATTAATTTAAAAAATTTTTTGGTTTTTCTTCGATCATTATTGGGTTGATCTTACTATAATGTCTTTTAACAATAGATGTCATTTTATATTTTAATGATTCAATATAAACACTGCTTTGCGAACTGTGTGAAGTGTGGCCCTTTACTGCAGAAACTAAACGTTGTTGTCGTTATCATATATTTTAGGTTAAAAAACAGGCCAACTTTGCGTGGCAACGCATCCATACACTACAAACGCGAGGAAATTCAATACAATTGCACCACCAAAATAAAACCGTGTCAAAATCTAGCTCTTTATGGTTGAAATGGATGTAAGGCTATTTCTCTTTGGCTTTACGAGGACCAAGTATAATCGTTTTGGTTGTTTATATATGGAAACGAACCGAATGGCTCAGAATAAATTTTCCCAAAAATTCCGCTCGCAATCAATGTAAGCATTTGAGAACATCCTGTTCTTGTTTGCCAAATGTCGTCTCGATGACACTAAAAGCACAAAATCCTATTTACCCATTCAGGACTAATTAGACAACAAACCCACATATCACTCGGTCAAACAACAAACGAGTTACTTAAGAAGCGCGACTATCATGTCGTCATACCCGGGTTTAATTTCTAATGTAGTAGACGATACTTTTGTTACGATTGCTGTGTGGTCCTACGTATGGTGAGTGTTCGGTTGGTAAAGGCATAACACTGGTTGGGCACAAACAGCAAACTCATTTTAGATAATAATTTTTTCATTTAAAGCAACGATTGCACAGAAATTAAGTTTTTTTATTTCCATGTTTCGAAAAAGAGTTTCAGATTGATTTCTTTTCTGTTTCGTCCTATTTAATCTATTGATTCTGCGTTCATTCCCACTTACTAGAGCGTTTCATTCCATCGGCCACTTTTTATTGCCAAAAATGCTCAATAAGGAAGTTGAAAGATTTAAACCAACCGTGCAGCACTTAAGCACATGTGATTTTCCAGGTGTGCTAAAACAATAATTCGGATATAAAAGCGAAAATTTTGAAGAGTAACGAAATTCTCCTTTCCGAACTGTTCAACTTCATTTTGATTGGTTTAATTTACAGATTCGAGAAATGTAAAAAAAAAATCCTTTTTCCGTCATCCGTGCTACCATTTAAAAACCATATTTGTTACTAAAGTTTTCCCAACGAAATGCGTTATACCCAATCCACTCTTATTTGATTTTTACTGCATATACTTATAAAGCGGAAAGATCTTTTTTCGAGTTTTCGTTTACTTTGAAATTTCGTGGTAAAACATCGTTGATACCAAAGGTCTCTTAACGGTTTCGGTGCAATTATTGTAAGGGCCTGCCCAGAAAATAAAAAAAGGCATAGTTTTAGATAAATTGGAATTAAGTTGGGTTGATATAAAAGTTCTAATGTATGTATTTCGAAAATCAGTAGATAATTAGTAAATAGTCACAAAATAGGTAAAAAAAAATTATATAAGCAACGCCAGAAACGCTTTCGGTTAATCGTAAGCAGATAAATTTTACACTAATTTTCGACCCCAAACAGCAGCGTTGGCATTAGCAATTTTTTAAGCATAAATTCAAATTTATTAAGATTTTTAAATTTTCTTAGGCATCTTAGCCGAGTTGCTAAGCTGCTTACGCTTATTTCCAAACTATAGTGGGCATTGAACCAACAAAAGACAACGGAGGAATGGTCATATAGGTGGACTAAAACAACATGATTCAGAATTTTGTGATCATCGAATAAATATAGTCTTCATTCATACCCGTTTGGTAATCACCAATATAAACAACTAATCACGAGCCTCTGCTATGCCTGTCTTTTTCGAGAAGAAGGGGAAATTGTCTAGAATAGTGGGCTGACTTAACTAAAACATAAATCAGGGAAATGTTGCAAATGGTTGTCAATATGTCAGCAAATTATGATAAATC